CACGTGGGTGGGCTGGGTAGGGCAGCATGATGCAAGGTGTAGTCAGGGGATCAGGGTGTGGGGGTCTCTGGGAGAGCGGGAGGAAGATGGGGCTGCATAGTGTAAAGCCACTGCTGCAGTCAATCAGGGTTGCCAACCAAAGAGTTTTTTTACTGCAAACTTTTAATCGACAACCAAACTTTTTTACTATGGTTGATATTAAACCCCTAAATTTAAACCCAGCCCTTCTAATTGGGGCCTAGCGGAAGAGTTACATTTACATTATGTAAAACATATATCAGTAAACATGCGTCAGTAAAAAGCTTGCAGATTGTCTGTAAAAAAGAAGGAAAAAAAAAGAAAATTCATGTGTTGGCAACCCTTGCAGAAAACCTGTCAGTGTTGCTGAAATCTACCAGATGGAATTCTTTTAAAAAGTAGGAGGGCTTCCTTCAAATACCATCTCGAACGAAGACAAGGTTCTTTGGGTGAATATGCTATCTTTTATTACACCAACTTAAATAGTTGGAAAAAAAGGTTTAGCAAGCTTTCAGGTTTAAAACCCCTTCATCAGGCTAAAGAAGTCTCTGCAGTTGGTTTGTGCTCTTTCTGGATGGAATGAATAGTAAAGAAGCCAGAGGCTGGGCTGGTATGCATGGAAGATAGGCAGTCAGTAAAGATATAAACTGAGGAGTCAGTGGGTGAGAGATAGGATGGTGGGGAGAAGGGGGATGAATGTAGCAGTTAACTAGTGGAGAGGTACCTGGGGAGTCAGATGTCAGGCAGGTTATAATGCATTATAAATCCAATGTCTGTATTTAGTCTAATATACTTCTTAAAAGTATATTAAACTAAGTATATTAGACAGTAGAAAAACTGTACTATACTTAAAAGAAGTATATTAGAATTTTTGTCTCAGTCCTGTTCTCCAAATGTCATATAACTCCATTTGAATTCAAGCACTGTGTGGAGTGATATTTTTCTTAAAGACCAAAGACAAAGGGGACAGCAAGATACTGGTAAAGAGGCCAGATGCTCATATTGTGTCTGGTCTGTTCCACCACGAAAGAAGGGCTAACCAGCATATTAATTATCAAAGGACATATTTAGAAGGAGGTGCTTAGAACAAATGTGAGGATGCAGGAAAAAACAAGTTATGAAAGAACTTACAGTGTTTAGAAGTATGAGCAGGAAATGAGCAAGTGGAACTCATGTAAGAAAAACATTAGTATGGCCTAATTGGAGAAAAATATTTTGAAATACAAATTCAAAGCAATGGGAAAATTTGGAAAGCAGTAATATAGTATTATTTTAGTAAATCAGACAAGTTAATAATATGATACGGTAGCAAAGCAGACTAGAAGTGATTTTGCACACCTAATGAAGTACCAACATAGAACACGAAAGTAATAGTTTCCCTCTGTCTCTCTCTCAAGCTTTGAGAGTATTACATTAAATTCTGGATACATAAGAACAAGAGAAAAAAATCTTAGGGGGTGTTTTAGGGTAGTGGGCCAACTTTTTTAGAAGTATAAAAGGACTGAGTAAGAGAAAAGATTAAAAGCAATAAATGTGAACAGTGTAACTGAACAGTGACTAAAATACAAGTATGCAAGTAAAAACACCAAAGAGGAAGAAGAACGCTTATATGCACAAAGACAGGGAGAAGCTTAAAAAGAAAGATGAAAGTTTAGACCAAGTAATAAAAAAGCTTCCTGACAATGAAACCTCCTTCTGCTGTGGAGGATGAAAAACCTCACAGCTCAACAATATATTGGACAAAGAATTTAAAAAAAAAATACAGTAGGGAATGATCTTCACAATAAGCTGAAGAACCAATGGACAGATTGAAAAAGATATTCAAATGGCTAATTCCTATTGAAAAAATCAATGGGTGTTAGCTGCCTGTCTCACAAAAAGGTCCTCCTAATAGATATCACTGCTCATAATCCAGGAACTGATCTCTAGAGGTGCACTGATTCATTGGTCCCATATCAGATTGACACCAATATAAGGGAAATTGATAATATCATCAATTGGCTTTTTTTGGCTGATGTGGCCAATAATGTTGCCGGTAAATGCCCCGTGCATGCACACGGCCCAACAGCGTGGAGAGCAACCTTCAGCTGGTAAGTCTATTGTGGGGAAAGGGGTGGGGGAAGAGGCAGATCGAGACCCCCTGCAGTGAGGGAGGGAGTGGAGCAGGGACAAGGGCAGATGCTGCACAGCTAGGGTGGGGCGTGGCATGGAGTGTGAGCGGCCAGGGAGTGTGGGGAGGGGGTGTTGGCTTCTGCTTCTATGCACACCCTGGGAGGCATTGGGGGCTTGTGCCCCTGGATCTGTGCATGGGGTGAGAGTAGGCTGCCACTGCAGGCTGCTGCTGGTGGCAGTGCTGAGCTCTTCCCGGCAGGAGGGCTGGACTGGGGTACACTTGGAGGACTGGCAGTGGCATTGGGAGGGGAGTGTTGGGGGGGCTATGGTGAATTCTGGGGTGGCTGCAGGCCCCCCCATGTAGTCCTTCCAGGCACAGTCTAGCCTGGCCTAGCCCCACACTGGGAAGAGCCCAGCACCACCCTAGCCCCTGCCTGCAGTGGCAACCCACCCTCAACCTGTGCAGATCTGGGGACACGCCCCCTACATGCCTCCTGGGGTACATGTAGCAGCGGAATCCACCCTTCCCCCACCCCAGATGAGTTGCTCACAGCTCAGTCCCATGCCCTGCCCTGCCTGTGCAGCCCCTGCCCCAGCCCCATTCTCTCCTTCACTGCGGGGACCTCAATCTGCCCCCCGCATGCCCCTTCCCTCCCCCACAGCAGACTTACCAGCTGGAGGCCACTCTCCAAACTGCCAGGCTGTATATCAGCAGTTGGATTGATATCAGCCATATATGTCTCGTCAAAAATCAGCCATCAGTATTGGTCCAAAAAATCTCTATCGCTGCACCCCTACTGATCTCTTATGTTCATTGCAATTTTTTAAACTAATAATGGTGACTAGGTCATTGAAGAAAGACAGCTGAAAGTCATCAACGTGTTCAAAAGCATTTTGCTCCCTTGCACATGACCAAAACAACTAATCTATACATATTATGACTATCATAGGGCCTAGCAAAAATATTACAGAACCAAAAAAACAAGTAAAAAACTAAAGTGCAACTTACTTTTCTCCTCTTATCAGCACAATTGAAAACTAACAATTTTTCCAACTTCAGAATAATAAAATAACCAGAATTTATAATATTTAAATAACCTGTTTTGTTGGAGAAAAAGTTACATTTAAAATACTCTATTTTTAAATGGAAGCAACAATATAATTAAAATTCACTCACCATACTAATGAAAGCCGGGTTGTTTATCAAGCTTGCCATATCAAAACTTAATCCAGTTCCTGTCTAAAAACAAACATCTAAACATTACTATACCTGTTAAATTCCATTTTTTATTTAAAAAGACAGAACATCCCCCCACCCCCCAGATTCAGAGCCTACTTACAGGACTGGACATATCTCTTAGCTTCTGTTCTGCTATTTTCAAATTTGACTTGTAAGAGTCATTTTCTGGATCAAGATCCAGTGCTTTTTGGTAACTGGTAATTGCTTCTTCATATTTATTCATTGAGGTCAGAGCCAACCTAATGTGAAACAGAGAAAGCCAATGCAGCATATCAATGAATATCAAAGAATTAATTATACAAACAATTTCTGCTCTAGTTGATTCAGGTGAATGAAAGAAAACAGAATTTTAAAACTGATTTAGATTTTGATCATACAAAAGTTAAGGTAAGTTTGCTTTCAGAATCAACAGGACCAGAATCTAAACATTAATGTATGCTGTTTGATTCCATCCAGTCCTCTTGATCTTGAAGATCTTAGAAGCATGGAGAAGGAGGTCTGAAAGATACCTTGCATCTCTATCCAAACCAGCCTATACAAATCTGTTGTCTAACCTCCTAGCAAAACTACACAATCAACCCTGATATAACACCCAAGTAAAGCAGGGGCACCACAGCAGCTAAAGTCCTGCTTCTGTAAAGGCTGCTAATATATACTCCAGAGATCCCAGAAAGAGGGCCACGCCCCCCCGCCCTCATAGGAAGGCAAAAACCCTCATAGTCCATACCAATCTGACCATGGGGTTACTTTTCTTCTGACCCCAAATATGGCAATCAGACTACCCCTGAGCAGAGGGTCAAGACCCTCTAGCCAGGAACCTCTAGGTTTAAGTCACAGTAGGAGCACTAACACACTTGATGCACATGACTACTACAAAAGACAATCTATTTGGTCTCAGCAATTTTAGGTCTTCAGCCTTCTGGAGTTGATATCAAAGGTGTCTGTCCTATATCTCAAACCATCAGGACTCTTGCATCCATGGGCAGATGTAAAATTTTGTAAAGCAGGGAGCAGGAGCAACAACCAGTGCTGCAGGGGGGTTATACCCTCACACCCAGCTCCTCCAGGCAAGCAGATTAAGCCTCAAAAGCAGCATCAGGGACTTATTTTTAAGTCCCTAAAGCAGGTAGGAATTCTACCCCACACTGCTTTTGGCACCCCCCCCATCCCTTTCCCTTCATCTTCAGCAGCATGTCCCCTCCCATTTCAACTCCCCTCACCTGCTGTTCCCAACTGCACCAGACACAAGAGGAATTCTAGTCACTCCTGCCCCAACTCCAGCCAAGCTGCATGGATAGCTCCCTGGTGGAGCAGCAGCAGTACTAGCAGCAGCGGAAGGGTATTCCCAGGCTGGTAGGGAACACCTGGGAGACTGGAAAGAGGAGGAACTGACCCACCATTGCTACTGCTGCTGTCCTAGGCTGAGCTCAGCTCCCTGTGCAGCCCAGCTGAAGTGGGGCAGAAGTGGTTCTGGAGCTACTCACTATGCCCAGGGTAGCCAGGCACAGTGACTGCAGTGGATCGGAGAGGAGAACAACGGGACAGGAGGGGAGAGGAGAGGATGTGCAACATGAAGGGATTCTTATCTGATTTGGAGACTTTAAAAAGTCCTCAGCTGCTGCTCATGCAGCACTGTCTGAAAGAGCAGGTGCGACCATGCCACTCCACCCTCTCTGGATCCGCATCTGTTTCAGTTAAGGTCAGGGCAAGTTTATCTCTACTGATCTCAATTTTTCTCAGCCAACTTGATTAATGGAATATAAAGAGCACTAGAGAGATTCTATTAGTAAGCAAAAGGGTTTTTTTACTAGGAAATTAAGATTTTTTTCCTCTACCTGGGTCTTAAAGATGTAGGTTTTAATCATTTTGACCAGGCCATTAACCTGCCTCCAGTTTCCCTCCACTCTCACTGACTCATATTCACTGACATCCAGGGAAGGTTAAGCTAAAAAATGTGAACACACATAAATAATGTAGATCTGAAAAGGTCTAAGTGGGACCAAAACAGTCCACTAGTCCCCATGCTTCTACAGAAAAAGACCATAGTTCAATTTCTCTCAACATGACAACTGTCCAAATCAGGGGTAGGCAAAATGCAGCCCGTGGGCCAGATACAGCCTGCAAAGCCATTCTATCCAGCCCACAGGGCCTCTAAAAAATTTAGAAAATTAATATTTATCTGCCGCGGGCTGCCTGTCACGCAGCCCTCGATGGCTTGCCAAAACTCAGTAAGCAGCCCTCTGCCCAAAATAATTGCCCACTGCTGGTCCAAATGGATCCAAGGGGCAATGGCCGCCATGACAGTTTCACAGCATATTCAACCAGGTCTAAGGCAGCCTCTAGGACAGGCCTTCAAAATCTACTAGTTACTGAAATATGCAAACCTACTGCATGCACCTCTATGCAGAGCTGCTCACTCAACTCTAGATTTTATATTAAATTCAGAAAATAAGCCTGCATAAATTTTCAATCAACATTGTCCAGACCCACTTCCAGAAGGGAAAGTGTTACTTGTTAACCTCCCACTTCCCTTTTATAAAACAACTTAGTGAAGGGGTAGGCAATTATATTGGGTGGAGGGCCGCTTACTGAGTTTTGGCAAGCCATTGAGGGCCGCATGACAGGCAGCCAGAAGCAGATATATATTAATTTTCTAAATGTTTTAGGGGCCCCGTGGGCCAGATAGAATGGCCTGGCGGGCCACATCCGGTCCACAGGCCGCATTTTGCCCATCCCTGACTTAGTGGTTACAGTATTTACCCAAGTGACGGGACTCCCAGGTTCAATTCCCTTTTCTGCCTGAAGTAACAAATGGTCCTAGATATCTGGTGCGAAGACATACAATTTCTAACTGCACTGATGGTAGAGCACTGTTACAGTCAGAAAACTACAGCACTTTCTTACTTAAGAGATATGCGTCCTGGAGACATTTAATAAGCAAGAATGAGTTCTTAATGCTGTTAGCCTAGAAGACCTAGTACTTTGAAACAGATCTGCATTCTAAATTGTACTAAGCATCAGTTGTACAACAACTGTTTCAACAGCAGATTTTTTATTACTGGTAATTATACAGTAAAAACAGCTCAATTTCCTAGACTGCATTTATAATGCTGGTAAACTGAAAAACAAACCAAAACAAAAAATATCTGTAAATGGAGATTATTTGATATGGAGTCACTGAGAGAGGTCATGTATATATATAGTCTTATGCTACTAGTATTAGAATTGTTTTCAGAAAACAACTGCACTTTCAGGGCCAGCTCTTCAGCTGATATAAATCAGTATCACTCCACTGATTTCAGTAGAACTTCTCTATTTATGCATTTTGAAGATCTAGCCCTTAGTTACGTAAGTTTTTATGAGCTTACCCCATTCTTCCATATGCTTTGCTGTATTTTGGATCTATTGCTATCGCCCTCTTGCAATCCTTTATTGCTTCATTGTACTTGCTGAGCTTACTTTGAGCAGCAGCCCTGAAACAGGAAAAAAGTTAGCACTTCATCAAGAAAATAAAAGTCTGACGATCCAGATTTAGATGCCACACAGCCAAGTTCTTAAAACTACACTAAAACCTTAAGCACACGCGTAATTCAATAGGCTTCTTCGAGTCTCTGTAAAGTATCTCAGCTTGCTCAGATCCAGCGAAGCTGGTCATATGCTTAAAGCAAGCATGTGCTTATTGTACCTTGCTGGAATAGGCTTTGGAGAATATAGATTTAGATACATAAATACTTTGAAAAGTCATAGTAGTGTAAAACATATTAGAAAATCATTTAATATTTCCATGTTGGATTGCGTATGGCTATCTTATATCCCAGCTAGATTATGTCTGTAGTGGCTATATATACTACCAACCAGTTTGCAAAGCCTCATCTTCCCAGGAACCTAAACCTGCAAAAAGTATCCACATTCTGCTGTAATACTCTGAATGAAGATTCCCTAACATTTCTAAATCTTTGATTTATACTTGCACCTTTACACTAGAGAAACTAATTGTTTTTATATACCACCTGTGACTTGAGACTAGAGACTAGGCCAGGCCACAGAGATTCATGTTCAAGCTTTCCCCAATGTTTGCAAGGATTCAAAACATTCCAGCTTAGGTTTTGTCATAGCTAAAACAGCATACTATATAAAGAATATTTAATTCTGCAAAGTATCCTATGCTACTGTGGAAGAAATTAAACTTCACGTTGTGGTTGAATTAGAACTGACAGAGCCAGCTTTTCTTTATTTAAGGCTATATGTGATCACAGGGAGAATTCCATACAGCAAGGGGAATCACCCACTTGTCTGTTTCAAAGGATTTCTCACTCTCTAAGGTTACAAGCGTATTTATACTAAAGACCGAGAAAGATAAAATACACCTTGGAGAAACAAAACAATAGTAAATTACACAGAAACTTACAAAGTTTTACTTAAACAAACTATCTACGCATAGGGCAAGATATCAAGATAACCCAAGGCACGCAGGAATGCGGATTCCTTATCTTAGAACATCTGAATTAAGTAGTATTAGCACGTCTGGTCTTTGTCTGTTTTTCTAGTCAAGTAAGCTAATTACTTCTACACTACTTTTCTATTAAAGCTGCTTTACAAAATAAAGACCATTCTTGCTGTGTCCCCTGAATTGGATGCCTTGCCAGGGTTTGATTAAATTACTTCCATTCCTAATGGATTGTGTTTATTGTCTTTACCTACAAGGCTGCTTAACTGCAGTGTCATGTAATCAAGGATAATATTTGGCTCCATGTTTTAATTGAAATGGTGAAATACAACTAAAATATAATGCACTATAGCAATAATATTCGTTACAGTAAAAACCTGTATGCATTTCATTTTGAAGTGCATACAACAGCCAAAGAAATATAGGCCTTCACTTTGTATATTATGTTTAGTTCTGATCAACTCATCTCACAAATTTACTAATTTAAAAACAAACAAATGTCCATCGATGAAAGAAAAGGTCCTTCTGGTTAAAGAAAAGGTCCCATTTGCTACAATGGATTCTGGATCAGATCTTTTTATAATTTCTATTAAAAAAAATTTAAATTCCTTTAAAAAAAAAATTAGTCTACAGTCTTGCCAAAAAGTCCACAGTATGCAGTTAATTAAGACAGATACATTTAAAACATATCAATCGATCCCTTTTCAGTTTGCATTACCAAACTGATGTCTAATGTAATTATTCTCTGACAAACAGGACATTAACTTTACCTTATTTTTGATCTAGTTTACAATTTTCTCCTTAAAATTTCAAGTTTAGCATTTTGTACCTGTTGCAGTAATAGACTGCATTATTTGGATCCAGTTCTATGGCCCGTGTATAACAATCCACTGCAGCACCATAATTTTCTTCTTTCATGTGATTATTACCTGAAATAAATTATAACCTTTTAAGTAAACTGTGAAAATAAATTGTTACATCTAAAAGATAAAAGACAGAACTTAACAGCTATACTACACTACTTGATAAAGCATTCATGACTGTGGCGTCTTCTGCAATTTATTTTCAGAACAAGATTTTGTATTATAACATGGAACAGAGAAGTATACTTTTTTGACACTTTTGCTCTATAACGTAGCACGACACAAAATGCTGAGCCTTCTACCTTCATCTCATGAATTTACATACTTACCAGACAATTCCCTGGTATTAAGCAGAAACCAATTTGTTAGTAGTTGGTCCAGTGAGCTGTACAATAAAAACAGATCAAGTGCAATTCTGGACTGTTCGTTCACACTATTCCAACAGGCCCCACAACAATGTGCTGCATGCTTTCTTGATTTTAAATACCCATAATTTGCCTATCCTATAAGCATCAACTAAGAATCTGAAAATAAGAACAACAAAGCTGGACATGTGAACGCACAATCCTACACAGCTCTCCAGTAGTTCATTCACAGAAACTGTGAAAAAACACATAGCAGTGGCAACCTAAGATTACTAGAGGTAATCTTCTTAGCACAGAAGTTGGTCAAACTGAATATCAGAAAGTAGGTCAATTCTGAATATCAATTCAAAAGCTGGTCAATTCTGAATATCAGAATTTCCTATGGAACAGACACTTTGAGAGTTTCATTCCCAAGTGAAACAGAACTAGAAATTTAGAAATGTCCTATAGAAGAAAACTATGAAAAATAAACTGCTGCTTTAGGGGGGGGAGGGAAAAACCCAACTACTTTGGTTACCTTCCCTGCTTCCTCCCCCACAAAAAAATGGGGCAGTCCAGGGAGTCCTGTCAAAGAGGAAGGGATACCATCAGCTCTGGGAGCAACATGACAACAAAAGCTCTCAGGCCGTCCCAGCTATGCTGCAGGGAGCCTTGAAGGCCGAGTCTGCATGGTGCGGTTGCTCCAGAGCGTGCAACCCCCAGTTGCCTGGAAGGTTTCAGCTGCACTGTCTTTGTTTTGACAAAACACTCAGCTCTAATGAAGAGATTTTTAGACCAAAATGATATTGCTGGAAGATTCCCAGTCACATCCCTCACCATCAGCATCGCTGATGCATCACTAGTCATCTTGGGACCCTTTAAAAGACTAGAAATGCTTTGTAGACATGAAAAGGAAAGCACTAAGTAGAATCACAAAAATGAAATGAAAGTAGTATACTTGTACGAAAGCTGGGACTTTACAAGCTCCCACCCATTCAGGAAAGGAAAAAGGTCAGATTCCACATGAAAAGACATACAAAACTGAAGAGCTTGGAAAACTGACTATGGTAATAAAAAGAAAAACAAAAACAACTATGGAAAAAGGAGTGCTCCACAAAGGGCAGAAGCAGTGATGATCTGACATGGCTCCAGAAGCTATTGAGCTCTGTGAAGAAAACCTTTCATCTTAACCACTGGGTAGTGAAGGGACCAACAACCATAACCAACAATTACAGTATATTTTTATCTCTGTAACCTTATTATGTACAAGAATTGTTTGACAAATTAGCAAGTTCACTTCCATCTTGGAAGGAATGTACATATCTGACATATTCAAATGAGTATAAGTGGGAGCAGAGCTTAGTAAAGGTAACTAAGAGACACTATATTAATGTGGGCCACAATGTCTGTAAAATGAGTGACAGACTTAACTGAAAAGTAGCTCACACTTCTCCATTAGTCAGATCAGGCACCCCCCAAAGCTGAGGGGAAAGCAATGGTGGTTCAACATGTTGCTCTAAACGTAATAACTGCATGGCCAGAAAGTAAGCAATTCCACACAGTGCAGCAGGCCAGCTCTGACAGAGACACTGTACAGTGAGCAATTCCAGTCTTGGACACTGACTGGAAATGCCAATTGTATTTTTGTAGTTAATATTTTCACTATTAATGAAAAATGACAATATTCTTATTACCACAGGTAACATGTCATCAGTGAAGTTCTCAACAGTTACGTAACAGACCTCAACTAGGAGCAGTAATATATTACAGATAAGTGAAAGGCAAAATAAAGTTCTATGCTCTCTGTTTATGCATCTAATGTAACAATGTTCATCTCATTTTTAACAAGAGTCTTAGTCTATGCACCATTTTTTGGCTTAATCCAAAGTGTCTGTAAACATAAATCATAAGTAATAAGACACGTGCAAGTTTGCCCATGTAATACAAAAAGCCTAGCTGTAATCAGCTGAGGAGAGATGGAATTTGTGTAAATGTATCATATCAAGGCCCTTTAAAACCGCAATCTCTGCTTCTGTTCTGAAGAGAAGATGGTTTGATATATGGCTAAATTCACAGCTGGGATTAAGTGAGTATCTGTCTTGCTTCCCTCAACTTTGAACTTGACTCAAAGCACATAGGTGCCCAGCCAGAGGTGCAAGTTCTTGCTGAGGATATACAGTTTGGGATTCTGCACTAGAGAAAAGTAACAATGATACTTTATTTCAGTGCCAGAAAACATCCTTTCAAATAAAGAACTTTAGGGTTGAATTTGGTCTCCTGGGACTGCAGCACTAATTATTTAATACTTAGTATTGTCCACATACCTTAATTAAGGTCAAGTCTACCCTAATTACTTTATAAACCCATGCACAGTTCCATCTCCAATGGAATTACAAACTAATAAATCAAGTAATAAAAAGAGGGGGGAAAGGGATATAATTAAAAATATATTATTTTTGTCATTTCAAATATTAAAAATTACTGAGGGAAAATGAAGTGTCATCTATCTTCATTTTTTCCCATCATAACTGGCATCAGAACAAAAGAGGTAGCTGAGGAGAGGGTTAGTAGTCCGATGAACGAGTTCAAGCTATCTCATGCATAAAGGATGGTGTGGAAGAAGGCCTGGAGATGGTTGTATAAGAAGGTACACAAAACTGGTGGTTGTGCTGGAGCACAGGAGGCAAGAAAAGCTGACATGAAAAGATCAGGAAAGGGTAGAGTTGCAAAGGGCCTTGAGCAGGATTACCAACCCGTGACTTTTTTTTACTGACAATTTGCAAACCTTTTACCAACATTCAAACATTTTTCCTGACAAATATTTTTATTAACACACATTTTACATAATGTAAAAGTAACACTTCTGCCAAGCCATGGACAGCAGTACCAAGGGCCCCATTCAAATGTAAGGGTTTAACATCAACTTTCTAAATCTGACCCAGGCCTCCATCCAGAAACCTGAGAGAACAAATTTTACCTGGGTGTTCTAAAGTGAACAAACTTCCCTGCTAACAAGCACTGTTCAACTAAAACAGGGTTTATTAGAGGGGGAAATGGGATAAACATGTAAACTGAGAGAAAACCTTACCTATTAAACATTAAGTGAAACCCAAACAGTTAATAACCTCAGTCACTAGCAAACCAACCAAGGTGAGCTACCACCTACCCCAGCTGACTGGGAAGAGAAACGCACCCACAGCTACCATCCTGCTGCTATAACACCTATGCCAGCCAAAAGTGACCCCCTGAACAATAAGACCATGGGCAACAAACAGTAAAACAGGTACAAGTAGCCCCCAAATGTTTGAACTTTGCAGTCTAATATGGGTATGTTTCCCTAATATGCAGTCTAATATGGGTATGTTGCCCTAACATGCAGCCCAGCCAGGACTAATTGCCCAGTTGGTTAAAACTGCCAGAGGCTATAGCTCACTGGTCACCAACCAGTCAATCTCAGTCAACTGATTGATTGTAGAGCCTCTGACAGTCAATCCCAGTCTGTCAGAGGCTTTATGATAGGGAGCAGCAGGACGCATGTAGCTGACCTGAGCCACGCCCCCTGCCGCTCAGGCCAGGCGAGTGGGATCCAAGCCCAGGTGGTTTGTCCAGGAGGTGAGGGGCAGGAGGGGAAAAGGGCAGTAGATCCTGGGGTGCCCTTTACTTACAAAAAGTGATCTTCACCTTAAAAGGTTGGAGACCACTGCTCTAACTGGTAGCCCCACCCAGGCTGATGAACCAGCTGGCCACTGACAAGGCTTCCTGATTGACTGCTGGGGAGAGCCGCTTCCCCATTCAAGTCCACCTCTCGCAGTAGACTGCAGGCCAGCCAACAGTTCTGCCTCAAAATCTATGGTGGTAGGCCCCACTGGATCCTGTGTTCTTGGATCTCTGACTCCTGAGGTTGCTTGGATGTTTCTGGACTCTGGCTGTTTGGAAATTCCCCTTGGTTTTGGTAACAGAATCTCTGCCTCTAGAACCCTGATTCAGCCTGTGACTTGGACTACGCTCTTGGAATTCCCCCTTGGTTTGGGTAGCTTGGACTCCACCTCTGGCTTCAGCCCTCCTCCAGTGGTTTAACCACTATACCAGAATGCCTGTGACCTGGTCTTTATAGTATGCCTCAGTGTATGAAGCTGACTGCCTGGGGCCATGCACCTCTGCCTATCTTTGAAATGAGCAGCTCTTACTGGCAGGTGAACACTGACAGGATGCAGCTCCAGCACATAGCTAGGAGTGGGGGGGAGCACAGAGGCTCCCATAGGCCACAAAGCCCTGATATAGAACTCCCTGTAAGACACTGACCTGCACTTCTACTTGGACACAATGTGCTGCTTCTCTGTTCGATATGTCCATCAACATTTGCAGCCAGCCTCACTCCAATGGTGGATCTTCAATCAAAGTCAGTTGTTTGTTTGCTTTTACTCATAACTTTTTTTTAACTGACAAATACTTTTAGCCTTATTTTTAGGGGCAGTTGATAACCCTGGCCCTGAAGACAAGGGCATGAGACTTAAATTTGGCTGGGGGGAGGTGGAGAACGGATGCTTTTAAGGCACCTCCAAACAATCTCAGTGACTCCAACATCCATTCTGTTATTTCAGATAAACTAGTTATCTGTAAGTGAGGCTACTCATTGATCTGGAATGGGTGCTGCTACAGAGCCCCATCCTAGGAGACCCAATGACTGCAAGTGGTTGGTAAAATGAAATACCTTTATCAGTGCTATCATATTAAGCAGTTCCAATTAATTTCCACTTGGGACCTAACCAGGTTTGAACTCATATCTATACAAGTGAAAGGTTAATGACCCACTTCATCACCTACCAAAGCTTGTTTTAAGTATATCTTGTAAGGCCAGAAGCTGAAAACATTATTCCTTGTCATCTGCAACAGCTGCAGTTGACCATTTAAAATGATACAGAAACCTTAAGCTCATTTTGAAAACTAGCCAGGTTTCTACCCATTTTATTATACTGAATATTTTCCCAGAGAGATTTCCTCTTTCCAAATTTGAAAACATATTAACTAGAGTTTTATATGGACAAATAAACATCCAGACATCAAAATGCTTATTCAAAATATAGTATAAAGTATTCAACCAACATGTTCTACATATTTGTTACTGGTGCTAGCCTTTTCTCACTTTCAGTACTAGAGCCTATCAAATACATATCAAATTATGGTTTTAAATTAGACCAGTGCAAAAGAACCTTGACATGGATTTTTTTTAAAGAGGTAACTTCTTTATGTGGGGAAGTAATTATTTTATCATGATTTTTCTCACATTGTAAAACTTTGTTTTATATAATAAGGGAAAAATCCCAACCTGATTAATTCAATTAAAGCTTTGCTATTAACTTCAATAGGGCCAACATGTTACCCAATGTCTTTTATACTCAAACTATATATATGTTATATAACCCATAACATAATACATAGCAGCAGTTGGCAACCTTTCTTGGTGGTGGGCTGGTATCATCTAGCACAAGTTCAAGGAGGGTCAGTACTTGGACCCAGCCACTGCCACTGTTGCTTCTTCCTGCCACCCAGAGACAGCATGGGCAAAGCTTCTGGCCACCTGGCAACAACACACACTGTATAAGGAAAGTCCCTCAGCTGATGAACATCGCTGAAGCCCCCTACTGTTGAAGCCCCTATCTCTGCAGCCCAGATCCAGCCCACAGGCCATAGGCTGAACTGTACTGGCAAACACTGGAAGCTGTAATGTGCTCAAAATCCAGTAACTGATAAGAATCTCTGTTACTAAGATATGCAATCATAGAATCATAAAGTAGGGTCGGTGATTCTATGATTCTATGTTAATTTATGACTACAAGGTCATAACCTAAAAGCCCAAGTTTGTGTGGGAGTTCTGTGGCCCAGATGCAAAACTGCTACCAACAGTACTATGCCAACACATTTATAACTTGAATACCCCCCCCAACCTCCCCCCCCAAAAACCACAAAAGTAAAAACAACAGCAAGAAACAGTTACTCCTTTATTAGTTGCATACCTTCATCCTTCAGCTGGTCAGCCTTTTCAACATCTTCTGGCAAAGGATCTGAGAGAGGCAGCAAGTCATTCTGTACATATTAAAAAGAGAGTATGGCAGATTCAAGGGTAGGCCCCATTACAATATGACCAGTGACCATCATCTAGGGAAAGGTACACATTTTTTAGAGATTCCACCATTCTTCCTTAAGCTGGTGAATAATCATGCAATTTTTTTAGTACACTCAAAGACAAGGTGGTTCTCTCCTTGTCAGAGTCCCACACCTATCCTGTTTTCCTGCCTTTCATGGGAATTTTACTTTCTATCAGATTTTCACATTGTTTTGATTTGTAAACCACTTTAAGATTCCATACTGAATTCACAACCTTAATCAGTTAATGGTAAAGAACCTCAGGAAAACGCAGAAATTTTTTTCTTATGCCTTTTATTCTTATTTTCTTCTTCCTTAATTGTTTTAAGGAAAAATAATTATTTCCTCTGCACATTCTTCCTATATCCAACATTTTCATAAATTTTAATAGTTTGAACTTTGAAAGCAGATTTTAGGCCCAATTTGTATAGACTTCATAGGGCATACCTTAAAAATGAAACTAGATTTTCTCCATAGCAAGTCAAGTCACAAGGACCACACAATTCAAGCAATTTAGAAAAAACAGCCTCGGGAATTGTTAAATATCTGAATGTCACTCAGGGAAAGTAGCTTTCATGTTAGAATGAGATCTCTTCTTTTTCAGTAACACATTACATACAGTTGTACTTTCACTAACAAATTATTTCCTGTCAGAGTCCTAAAACTATCCTGTTTTCCTGCCTTTCATGGGAATTTCACTTGATCATTTCTTTCAGGTTTCTACGTTGTTTTGACCTATATAGCACTTTAAGAGTTCATACACATTCACAACCTTAATCAGCTAATGAAAAAGTAACTCAGGAAGATTAAATCAAATTCCTACCTTGTGAAAAGAATTTGTGAACATCTCTATCAAATGCTGGGGTGCTGCAAGATGAGTATCTTCTAGGCTAATCTTAAAAACAGTCTCCAAACACTGAATCACAACTGAAAAGAGATGACAGCATTATTATAAAATCAGCAAGTTTTCAACACAAAAATATAAATACGAGTGCAATTAAAAGTAGGAATCACTCTTGCCATCTTAGTTATCTTGTTAAGCCTATTTTTTAAATTAAACAAAAAATTAAAAAAACCAAAGAACAGTTATTTGAACCAGGTCTTCTAGTAGAAAGAAAAAACAAAACAAAACAAAACAAAACATCAAGCTTTCCTTCTTTAACTGTCTCTCTTGTGGGCAAGAATGGCAGATGATGCATCATATCTATACCAATGGTTCTCAATCTTTGTAGACTCACATACTTCCATAATTTTTGTGAATTGAGCAGCTCCCCATTTGAGAGACTAATTGATTTATTATAGTGCTTATCTCCCTGCAGAGGGGGCAGGTAGTAGAAACAGAAAAGTGGCCAGGTAGGGTCCAACCTGAGCCTGTGTCCTATTTGCTTATCTCCTCACACCTGTGGCACCCTGGTTGAAAAATCAGTGGTCTATAACAGGGGGTCAAGCAAGCTATGGTCCACAGGTCAGATGAGGTCAACAGAACCCTTGGATCCAGACAGGGTTGTGGAGCAACAGCTGAGGGCTTTCTCCCAATGCCACCACAGGGACAAGTGCCAGGTGTGGATCCTCTCTCCAGGCTGCCATTGGGACAAGTGGCAGTAGTGGCTGGGTCCTAGCTCATGCCCACTTCTGACATGGGTCATTCTGACCTGCAGCCATAAAAGTTTGCCTACCCATAACCTACACCCATTTCTCTTACCACACTTAATTCCTTACCTAATCAAACTGAATTTCTTTTAATGCCCACTTGCTTTTGATTTTTTTTTTCATTTTTAACATAGAGGGATTAAGTAAATTAAAATAGATAAGAGAGACTAAGATATGCAGTAGCCATATTACTTGGCAATACAAAACATAGCAATACAGAAAAACCTAGGTATTTCTATATTTAGCATTAAATGGTTCATATTTATCAGAGGTCCAGCCAAATGACAAGAGACAAGCCAAATCCAAAATGAAAATATTTAAGTAATTCTTACTGTTTTCAAATGTATACATTTTGTATTACAAACCAAAGCCCTGCTTACAAATAAGCTACTTCATTAGTCACAGGCTTGTATCCTGCACAGAAATCTGCCTGCAAAGTCCATACGCTCACATAATGTCCCACTGATGGTCCATATAGGATCCAAACAAGTGACTGGAGGAAGGAAGGAAGGAAGGAACCGGAAGATACTTAAGAACACTTGGAATTAACTCATGCAAACCATTTCATCAAAGTCACTAGAACTGCACATAGAAGTGAAGTCCCCAAAATGTGTAAGTATTTGTACATTTGTTAGAGAGGGAGTTTAATTATTTTATTTTAAGATTAGGGGGCAAATATTTGACAGTGTGTGGAAATCCAGTGTCATGGTTCTATTTCAGGCAGTGTTCTGCAGTGTTAGAAAAATAAAATATTTACTAGGGTCTCTTTTACTCTATAAGAATAATGCAGGATCTAGGTTTTACTCTTCTTCCTGACATTATCCATGAAGAAAACAAAACTGTGGTAAACTAAGTGTCATTCATCCTCCCAATGAAATAAAGGGGACCATCAAGCCAATTATTTCTGACTTCAATTACAATCTTATCTTTTGAGGTGAAAGAAAAATACATTATCCCACTGAATTTCAATGTAGTTCATCCTCTGTGAAAAACCAGCAAAATTCAATTAACAATACAATGAAATGTGTTAATATTAGTGTCCTAATGTCTGAGAAATCAACAAAATTTGGTATCCAGTTTCTCCTGAGAACTTACTAGAAAGGATTTCCCATCACACATTTAAAAAAAAAAAATCAAGGTTCCCTCTAACGAACAATCCATCATACTTATTTTTAATACTAAAACATTCCCTGTTTTGAATACATCAACTTATGTTGCATTCTTTCAGGAACAGAAGCCACACTGCAAAACAGATCCTAACAGTTTCATTTTTAATTTTCTGACATTTTGGCAGAAAGATATTAAGTCTATAGTTCCCAACTCCTCATATTTTATTAATCTTTTTTGGAGGAAAGATTTCTGGAAAGTGTAACAAAGATCAAATTATGATTCAACAAAAAAAAAATCACTGGAGATCATAATAGAATTTGTAATACATTTCCACGGTAGATATAATTGGTTCTTACAGCAGTTCCCACATTTCTCATTTAACTGAAAAACTGAACACAGTCTGAATATTTCTAATTCCTTTGCGCAAGTTTAGCAAAAGTAGTACTCTTATGGGACAAATCAGAAGAAAGGAATTATGGTATTTCACAAGATAAATCTCATGCTGCTGCATAAATGGTGAGCAAAACAGATGGCTACAAAAAAAGTAAACATAAGATCAAAGAAGCAGCATCTTCAAGGTGGGAGACACTGATCACCTGACAATATACTGTAAATATGTTTTTTTAATATACAAAAATAATTATGGTGAAATCCTGGTTCCATGAAATCAGTGGACCAAGATGCAACTATGTACAGTACAAGTTGTTTGTTTGTTTTTAAATCTAGAGCAGGCGGCTGCTTGTTCCCTTTCCTATTGCCAAATGGTAGGCATCTCCCAATTGCCATAAGCTGAAATTTATCCCAGTGCAGAATGTCAGCAAGGCTTGTCATACCATAGAAGCCGTTACAGTACTGATTCTTGAGGGTGCCATGGCATTTTGGGTTACCTTGAGACCCTTTCCCTATCCAGGGAGAACACAGAATTGTAATAAGGACCATAGCAGCAATGATGCAGAGGCAGCAGTGACTTCCAGCTACCACCAAACTGCTGGCATGGCTATAGGGCTGCAGCAACACCTTTTATTTTTTTCCCCCCATGCCTCTGTCCACCAGTAAATCGGAGCTCGGGGCTTCTGCTCCAGTTGTTTCACCTTAGCTATGGTGCTTGAGAGAACAGATGCAGCCTGAAGTTCCAAGTAGCAAACAGACAGTTCCACTTCAACAGAAGCGTTCACTGAAAAAAAGGCAACCCAGCCAGAGGTTCTCTCACCCTTCCAAAGGGTTAAGCAGTTTCTCTGCCCTCAATCCAGCCCACATAGCCCAGTTCAGCCCCCCAAAATTGCTTTGCTGTTCTCTTTCCAATCTGCTCAGTTTCTGAAGCCCCAAAGCTACTGCACTGCTCTACGTCTCCTAACCCTCTCCTTCAGACCCTTCTTTCCATTACTACTGTGTCTATTGTCATATTTATTTCCCCCCCTTGTGTACACCCCCTGAGAGTTACTGAAAAACTATTCAAGTCCTTGCTGATGGATGTGTTTCTTGTGAAGTAGGCCAGAAACTCTAGCTTCACCATCTTTAAAACCCATTTTTTTCCCCTGTATACATTAGTTAAGAGCAAAGACACAGTTAATACAAAAATATTACAATAAACCCTGTAGTCCATCACAATAAATTGTAAATTTCACCCTTTATAAAACTGCCCCTTACCACTGGAATTAACTTCACTTACCACCTGAAATGGTCTGCAGTTAGGATGCAGGTTATCAATAGAAACATTTTTTGAAAAGCACGTGGTACTTCTGTTTTGAGAAAGTCTCTCAATGGTGGATTTCCCCGCACCTATGGTTTAAGTCAAGTTGGGGGGGTGTTTTTGCTTTACACTCTCGCCTGCAAGGTACATAACATACCCACAGAAAGCATACACTCAATTCTTTCCTCACTTAGCCACGCATTTGACTTCATTAAGAGCTATTCCCACATTCTTGGGCAAGATTTGGTTCAAAATTGATGCAACTTGAGATAAAAATAACTTCTGTAGGGAAAAAAGGGACAGCTCTTCAGATTAGATTGGATCAGATGCTGTATACTGTATAATGAAGCATATGGTACCATATTTCTGTCAGTATTCTTTACTAAAATTAGGATTTCATGTCTCTATTAAGACAGCTCAATTGTGAAAGTGTTTGGTTTGAAATTTGATAATTTACGTCATTAAAAGTATTGTAATCCCTTCTTGTTCATAAAAAAAATATGTAAATTGCTGGTTCATTTGTTTCTCACAAACTATAACCAAAACATATATCAAATAATCAGTTAACCCTTCTTGGCTACTAAACAGCAAAATGTATAAACCTTATTATAAATTACAAATAAAATTATGGAGGAGAAAAAGATATTTGTATTTCCAAAAAAAAAAGTAATTTTCTTGGCATCACTGAAAAAAGGTCCTCCTAAGACATTGGTATATTTTTAATTTATATAGTTACTTAATAATTACCAAATGTACTGAATATTTTGAATACTGCTGTTTATCTAAATCTTTCAACATGTTTTGGAAACAAGCTGAACAAAATATTTTCTATCTGCAAAAGTAACATTATTACAGAACCCATTCAGCAGAAATCATGCTCAAGAAGTTGTTTATGCATGAAACGAATTTGTGGTTGGAGTATAAGTTTAAATGTGGTTTATACACAGACCTACTAAACCAAATTCTAATACTGTGTAAAGAGTCAGCATGGGAGGGTTATACCAGTCACAACCTGCAGACTTTCAGAGCCCTTTAGAAGACAAAAGTTTTTTGTCCAGAGTCCTCACCACTGTGTTGTGTCTGGAATCACTGTTAACTGCCTTCTTCATTGTTACTTCTCTTATAACCCAATAACAGTTGCCAAAAATATAAATAGTGCTTAGCAAATTCATTCATAAGGTCACTTAAGCCTTCCTTTACATAGTACATGAAACTCCAGGTAATACTAACAATACCCCTGCTCTATGGCTGATCATTTTTATCCTCTGTTGCTTGCCGCTAAGGCTGCAGTTGACGAAACTGTTTTTCTTCAGTGCTTTTTAAAAAAATTAAAGCATGAACAAACTGGGAATGAAACTGGAGAGAAAAGGAACTAGGTAATTATAAACTGAGGAAGACATGGCAATATCCTCAATGGACAGGACAGTGGTATACCTAATTAGATTCTTCAGTGGATTTTAAAATATCTGATGCTCAAGAATAAGGTAAAACAAAATCCATAACTGTAGAAACTTTTAAGAGCTATTCAAATATTAGAATGAAGAGCCTTGAAGGTATTTAAGATCTTGACCTATGCTGGGGGGGAAAGAGGGGAGAGATGGACTAAAAAAACCTTGTTTTCTCCTCTCCTTAGTAAGAAATGTTCTAAAACATTTCACAAAGTTCTTCAGATTTTGTGAAACCCAAACTTCTCCAATTTCTGACTCATAACTGGCAAAAGATCAGCAGAATGAGAGAATATTATCCTCCATAAGCAGTGGTGGCTAACCTTTCTGGCAGACATGCCACAAAGTAGCCCTGCACTCTCACCATTAAAGTGCCACTCCAATCCCTTACCTTGCCTGATCTGCTGCTCTGCTTTCTCCTTCTGTCCCTGTGCTTCCTGCCCAATTTGCTGCTCTCCTTCCAGCTTCCTGTCCCATCCCCAATCTGCTCCATGCCACACACAGAGGCTGCCCCTGCCCCTTTGGCAACCCCTAGCCACCCCTGCTCTACAAGATAAAAATATAGATTATTGTGTTTGATCAATAACAATGCTTTTCTGATGCACAAGAAACAAAATATAGCCTTTGTACCATCACAGCCAACATGAAGAATTAGTATAATTCATTCCCATTGGTTGACATGTATATTGTGACAGGGAAGCAATCTAGCGTATAGATCAGGGGTAGGCAACATTTTTGGGTAGTGTGCCAAAACCACCTGCAACCTCGACTCATAAAATGTTGGTGCCGGGCAGATGGTGTGGGAGCCATGAGGGGTCCAATCTTTGTTGTGGCAGCACAGACCTGATCCCTTTCCCACCATCTACCCAGAGGCATGCGTGCCAAGCAAAATGCCTTCACGTGCCACACTCTGGCTCCTGTGCCAGGGGTTGCCTATCCCTGGTATAGATAAATGGTTTCATTACTTACCTTCCAAGCTTTCTTGTTCATCTGAAGTGAAAGTATCCAGCTGACTCTGTTCTCTCAGGAAATGGATGACTGCATATACAAGGCGTTTGACAGATGACATTTTGTGAGTTTTGAACTTCACCTAAACCACAGAAAGGTTCATATTAGCTGTATACAGAGAAACTTTTAAAAATGCAAAAAGGATGCCTTGCACAATCAACACACCCACTGCCTTGATCGGGGTTTGGGACCTGCATTATGTATAGCAACTGGTCCTCTGTTTAAAAAAAAGCATGTTAGAAAAAGTCTCTCTAAACATTTATAACTTCCAGTTTTTTTAATTAAAGTCAGAACAGACCATTTTAACAATCTAGCCTGACCACCTGGAAAACAGGCCAGAGGACCTCTAGGTTAATTCCTGAAGGAATCAGAGTTCAGACCATTTCACTGGAGCAGGGGTAGGCAAAATGTGGCCCGCCAGGCCTTTCTATCTGGCCCACGGGGCCCCTAAAAATTTTAGAAAATTAACATTACTCTGCCCCTGGCTGCCTGTCACATGGCCCTCAATGGCTTGCCAAAACTCAGTAAGCAGCCCTCTGCCTGAAATAACTGCCTGCCCGTGCACTGGAGGGAATTTAGTCAAATATTTTGCTCAGGAGGAGTACTGATTTAAAGGCCACAGCTTGGGGAGCAGCAAGCAACTTGGTAAAAGCCAAAGGTAATTTAAGAGATATCAGTGACACAACGAAACATCAGCCCATTAGCAAAGCTGCTTCCAGTCTCTGACACTGTGTTACAGAGCGGTTTCTATTCGCTTTGGACCCAAAATTGGAACAGGGTGACATAATCCAAACTTGTGATTACTGCCAGTGCTCACTCAGGCCCTGGTTCACATGGAGGCTCTGTGGGGGTGGGGAGGGGAACTGCCCTTCCAACTTTCTCGGAGTTGGTCTTAACACCCCCAACCCACACCACCCCCAGCCAGATTTTTAAGGGCACCATATTCAGCTCCACGCTGAGAGGCGGTGGAACGGGCTCTTGGTCGAAAAGGGACTGAAAAATAAAGCATTAAAAAAATCGCTCTCTGTGGAAAACGCCGTTGTTTGTGCAAGGCTGGGCAGGCCCCGCCGCCAGCGGAGCCATCTTAAGCGACCCCCAAGGGCCAGCGGCAGAGGCCGCTCGGCGGAAGCGAGACCCCGGCGGGCGCGTCTCGCCTCAGGCGCCCCCGGCCCCGGCCCCATTGCGGCTCAGCCCTCAGCAGCGCCACTGCCAGGGGGCGGCGGCCGGGCCTCGCCTCGCCTCGCCTCCGCTGTCGTCGCTCGCGGGGAGACGGAGGTCGGAGCCCGAACTCCAATACCCTGCCCGGGGGGAGGCCACAGCGCCGCGCCCCGCCCCGTCCCATCCCTCCGCCCCAAGCGAGATGC